CTCATTTGTATCCATATTGGGTAGGTTATACTCTATTGAAACCATCCTTAAATGAGGTTCACACTTATCCCTTAATGCACTATACTAAAGCAAAATATGAAATATTGTATATAATTATAAAGCTTTTAGATTAATAATTAGTCTAATTCCAAATGCTTCAGTTTTTCACTTTTCTCCTCCTACATTTAGGCCTTTTATCTGAATTGCTTCATATCCTCATATAAGGTAATTCATATACCAGTTACCTCTAGTTCAGAAATACAACCATGTTGAGTAATAATATGTGATATTATCAAAGAAAATGTCTATATAAAATATATCAGAAAATTTCTACATGTTTACTTTCATTTCTGCCGTTTTCTAGACCGTACTGTAGGGTCTATTAAAAAAAATCACCAACCCCCCTCCTCCTCCCACCTGCCTTCATGTCCCATAACAACAATAATGCCAGCGCCATGATGGTCAAGTAAAAACCGCTAACTAACCATTAACAATAAATAAAAAATAAAACAATAGAGCACCTAGAAAAACTTGTCACTCGTGTAATTCTGCTACCCCAAAGCATCTCTCAATTCTCTACGATAAGCAATTCACCTCTACACCATCCCGCACGCCACCCTTATCAACATCCCTTGCCTTCTTTCCTTCCCATTCCTCCGTTCACTTGCCGATACCGCCCGCCTGTGCCCTACTACACACAAGCACACAGTACGCACAATTCAATTGCCTGACGCATAATGATGACTCCGCCCTACATACATACATACACATACATACACTTAACACCCACCCCAATACTTACTGTTCCTTGCTCTCCCCACCCAGATTGGACCGCAGCGAAGGCACAAGCAAACCCTCTCTTAGTCTCAAAGGCAACTCATATTAAGAAAGAAAGAAAGAAAGAAAAAAGTGGCTGAGAAAGTTAGCGGTACCGTCCAGTATGTCAAGGCCATTCCGATAAGTGCTTACAGGTGGTGAGATGTTTTCGTGCAGGACGGGGATTTTTTTGCCTATCCACGTGGTTGTAAATTAAATTAACTGTTCACTGAAATTCTATCGCTTACTTGTTCAAGTAGATTAGGTTGCGCAGGGATCAAGCTTGGCCCGCAAGACAGGTTAATCTCAAACTGATGGAGCACGAGTTATCCCCACAGCCTTCCTACGAGGGCCATGCGGGAAGGGGGTAGCCTGGAGCGCGGGTGCCAGTCTGGGTTCCGCTCGGAATTACCAAGCAGTCCGCTGAAAACTGCTCGTCAAAAGACGCAAACCTTTGATCGCCCAACTAGGACATGTAAAGAGTTAGTATATTTTTCTACTCGTAGCAGTTGTATTGAACCTAGAGGCCAGGTGCCCCATCGATTGTATGTATATATTTGCCCCTAACTGACCAAGAGCATTAAATACAAATATCCCCTCAATGCCTTGTTTGTCAGGCGTACCGCTGCTACTGAACTTTCAGTCATCACCGTACCGTCATTTTATGCCTGACCCCTGTAAATTACGAGAATGATACCAGTATTAAAGAGTACCCAGCGATCATGCACAAAAGAATCGATTCCACCCAAGCTCAGCTAAACAAATAAAACTAGGCTATTACCTTAATTGCGATTGCCCACCACCCCGCAAACCCCGCACTGCGGGTTGGATACACAACATCTTTTTTCTAGTTTTTGTTTTTTTTTCCTCATCTTCACTCCTCCGGAGGGGGGGGGGTCGCGGGGTTTGAGTCACGGCGGGACATTGGAAGTGTTCGCATACGGTAGCCCGGACTTGCCGCTGATTTCCCGAAGATAGAGTACTAGAGTATTTTATTTATCTACCTATCGTGCGCCTGATTCCGCTGCGCCCACCCGCTCGGGTGTCCCGTCAGGAAACACCGCGTAAAAAAAATATCAAAATAAAACCAAAAATTACCAAAAAAATAAACCCAGAGCCTTCCGAAGAACCAAAAAGCCTCAATACAACTACACCAGCAGGCGGCTTGGTATTAAGCCCAAGAGCAGTGTGATTTTGATGATTAAAAACATAGCCTCATGCAACATCATCATCAAAATATACATATGAAAAGTAGAGTATCACAGGCTGCACCGCACTCCCATCTACAAGAACAATACCAGCACTCCCAGCTCCAACATCGTACCGCTTCACCTTGCCTCGCCACCTTCCTTCATACATAAAAAAACAATGATAATAGCAATAATAATGGTGGTGATAAAAAAACTAACAGCACCTGCTTCAAAGCACGCAAATGAATAGAAGAGAAGAGGAATGAAGGATAGCCAACTGCAGATGAACCTCCCCAATAGTGAATGCAAAGCAAGAAGCAAAAAGAGAATCCCTTCAACACCATCATTAATTCATCGCATTCGTGATATCGTAATTCGTCAAACAAAGGGGAGCTGGAGAGAATGAGCGTCTCCGAGGAGAATCCAAATATCTACTAAACTTTTGGTAAGGAAATAGTGGCTGAGATTATCGAGAGTAAGTAGGCAATCTAATCTCCTTGACGACCCTCTCGAATGCGCGTGCGTCTAAAAATAATTTGTCAGTCATAATCCAAGCCTTGGTCCATCCACTAGGCGAGGGAGAACAAACCTCCTGGATTCCTGAAACGTAGCTCGTAATTCTTCCATGTGTTGGTGTCAAAGTAGACTGAAAAGGAAAACTGCCGCAAGTCCCTGAGAATAATGGAATTACTTCTCGAGTAACGGAGCCAATCAGGAATGCCAATATAATCCGTAACTGCCAAGTGGTAAGCACCAAAATTTCTAACACTCGTCCTAGGCCTTAAGAATGGCACTCACTAAAAGCAGTCCAAATGGTTACATCTGTTTGCTCGCCCTTGACACTGGCAGACGCCAACCTCACCACTCCCGAGTCCCGATCCTGCAGTACTCTTAAGATGTGAGGATACCCCTCATCGTCGATTTCACTGCCGGTAGTCAGCAACCGAACACAAATTCCGTTGAGCAATGATCTCCAACCCGCTAAAAAGCAGCTCCTCTCCGTCAAGCCAATACTCCGATTTCTTGGGTGTTGGTGCTTTGGGACCGTTGGATCTTAATGCCAAAAATGTATGATAAAATAACACCATATCTACCCTCAAATATGTCAACATAACTCAGAGAAAAGAGCAAGGGAAATTGTCTACATACTTTCGATATCGGCAAAATATAAGCAAGCCCATAGGATACCGCGGCGCTTCAGATGAAGACTGGATCCAGCTCGCGATACAGTCAAAAGAGATGCATCGATGAAGGTTTGGAATCTGGTGTGTCCTCGGCGGTCGTTAACCCACCCACCCGAATACGGTTGACCAACCGTGCAGACTACTTTCGCGGCCTCGGTCGTCTCATCGCGGTAGAGGCGAAGAGTAAGGTCATTATCAAATTCCCTAGAAACAGGCACCATCAGTACGAGCTCGTGGTAATAGATAGCCACAAACCCCTCACACTTTAATGATCTCAATCTCTTCTCTTGCCATGTTAAGCGTGTCCATAGGCATCCCGAAGCATTGCGATCCCTCGGCAGTTCTGATACCATCATCAGCCAACAATCCTCAAAATATAAACTTTGAATCCATACTTCGCAGTATTCACAAACCCGGTAGAGCCGGCCGTCCCATCAAAAACACCAGCCCACCAATCAGGCCTAACATTCACATTTCCACCACGGAGTCTCGGGCCTGGCGGTGATGGCGGAAGTGGGGTCGGCGCCGGGGGAGGGGCATACCTACGCTCTCGTGGTGGTGGCGATACGGGTGTGTGCGGGGCAACGGGGGCCAAAGGTGTTACGGGCCGGGAGTCATGTGCTGGGGTCATGTAGCGCACGGGGTCAACACTGGCCGAACGAGGTGGAGAGACAGGGCTAAAAGAGCGCGAGGAACGCCGTGATGGTGAACCATAGGGAGGCGTTGGTGGATATCGAGCCATATACGCCTTTTCCTCCGCGGCCCTTCTCTGGCTTTCCTCCAAATCTCTCATTCTTTTCGCCACTCTTTCCTGGTTGCTTGCAAAATATTTCATCTCTTCCCGAAGTCGTGACATTTCGGTTCGGTTTCCCGATTTACTAGGATTAGGTCAGCCAAGCCCAAGTGTGAGACACTGCATCATTGCGGGGTAGGTTACTGTTGCAAAATCCCTTTCAATTGCAACAAAAAAGTCCGGTGAACATCTAAGCGACTGCCCAAAGGAAAGCCTTCGGCTTTATGAAAATAAGATTGAACCTCGTGCCATGTTTTTCGAGGAGTGGCAGCCCGTCGCCCAGAAGAATAGCGTACAACGATGTTATCCAGCTCACGAAGAGACCTCGAGCAACTACTAATACCCAACACGATGTCGTCCAGCAACTCTCGAGCAAGGCGGTTAAAGCGGTGATCCTGAAAAGCCAAATCAAGGTCCCTTAAGGTGGCCCTTATATCATAAAGGCATTTAACTACGCTGCGAATATCGCGGGATGAGTCCGGCAACAAATCGGCGTATCCACAGAGAAAATCGGCGGTGTTGCCTGCAAGCGACGAGAGGGCCAAAACCCCGAAAACAGCCAAACGCTCCGCCATGGGACAAGATTTTGTTTCCTTGTGTCTTGGCTTCTTCAAGAAGAGACTTTTGACGGCGGAAGAGGGGATTCTTTTTAGTCGTCAGGAAGCATAGACCGTAAGAATAAGCGGAGAGGAAAAGTCAATGCTAGAAACAACTTTCTCTTCCCTGGGCCAGGCTGGGAGAGGGGGACCAGGAAGATAATGTAATTGAATAAATGCTCAGCGAGCGAAAGAGGGGATGCACATGCGGCTCCTCAAAAGGGTGGTGGTGGGCTCTGACGTGTCTGAGCAGAGTGCGGTATGTATGTAAGTATGAATGGTGGCAGGTGAGAGAGGTAAGCTATGTGTGGTATATGTGGGAGTACTCCTGCAACAAAGTGCACCCCACCCTAGCCAATAGTGTGACCTCTGCGAGAAGTCTCACCACCTAAGTGGCTGTGAGAACACTGGCAAAAAGACGATTAATTTTAACTGGCTGGTCATGTAGGGGAAAGCATAATTTACGAACAATTGACCAATCCTGTCCGACCGCTGTGGGGGACCAGACCATCTCGCAGCAAGGCCCAACTCCTACCTGTGTGAGCAGGGCGAAAAAAGGATATAGAAGTTGTTCCGGAAAAGAGTGGCAAAAAAAGAAGAAAAGAAAAGAAAGAAAAGTAAGATTGGAAAAAAAAAAGAGTGGAGAGAGCATTGGCTCCCATCACCCACAGATGCAGCATGAATGTGGTGCGTGGACATGCGGGGGAGCTCTCGGGGAAAATAAGGTGACGCCACAGCCAAACCCCAATCATCTGGAGAGATATATAAAAAACACGCTCCCAAATCGCTCGAGTGCCTCGCTCTTCACGAGCACTTCCTCCTGGATGTAGCCAAAAGAACCATACATAGTCTATGAGGACAGTATTTCTTGAAGGTAAAACGCAATTGCAGCCTAGACCGATTTTTGGCACGAGCACCGTACTTGTATCGCTTTGCAGAAAGGGTTGCTGGTGAGGTACTTTCCCATAGGGCCACGGCCCCTCTGCAGCGATTAGGGAATTGCACTCGAGCGCCGGATTCTGATGCCATTTCTTGATTTCTACCACATCAGCAGTGAGTAAGGCTACCCATGATTGGACTCTTTCCTGTGGATCGACCGGCCGTTTCACCTATATCCGTGTGCCCGCTTCAGCAAATAGAGCGAACCTCAACAACAGGCAAGCAGACCCCCTCCCCCAAACCCCGATATCAGTTTCTCGTGATGTATGCCTTAGAAGCAGTTTTAGAACATGCCCAATAATTCTCCCGGGTCACAAAGAACGTGGCTAGCCTCATTATGTCATTGATTCCTTCAGCTGAGGATGGCGACAGAAGCACTTACTCAAGTACCCGACAACAGGCAAGATTATGGCATAATGTATAAATGCACATTGTGCGAGGTTTCTTTGTTTTTAATGGTTTTTTTTTTCGTTAGTTTTTCTCCTTCTTTTCTTTTTTCTCCAATATATATACCCGTTGGGGAACGAGAGGAAACGAAAGGCTCGGAAGGAATAGCGAAGAAGAAAACGAGAAAGAAAAAAAAAAGACTCGCAACCTCACTCCGGAAGCAAGTCCCCTGATTCATCGTAGTGAACGAGCGATTCGATTCGAAGGAGGGGAGGGGTCGAGGAGATAAACATCTTGGTATAGGTATCACTCATTCGCCCCTTCTCCTCGAAGGACGTTATAAAGGTTAAGAAGGATCATTCATGGGGCGAGGGGGGGTAGGGTGGGGGGCGGCACCGTAACCCAAGCGCTCCGTTAGGATGCCGACTCCACAGTTACCACGTACCAATGGGACCGAGAAAGCTATGCGCAGACGTGGTGCCCCTGATACTGGGGAACGAGAGAGGGATTTGTCTGCCACATACGTGTTGGCGATGAACAGATCAAAGTCCAATCAATATAACATTCCTTTGCCAGATTACAAAAGCGACGGCACAAATCCAATTGACTGATATTCAACCGCAATCGAAAGATTCGCTGCTATAGAGCCAGATCCTTGGGCGACGGTTCGCAACAGGGCCTAACACACGCAGAGCTCATTAAAACAGAGCACCAGTACGGTGCACATAGAACCATGGGGAGCATCCAGGGTTCTCATGAAAAAAGCACTCACGGAGAGGTGTCAAAAAGTATCAGGTTCCGATAAACGAATGTCACTTTCTAAGATCAGTCTTCTGTGCCTAACAGACTGTATCAACAAAATGATCAGAACCATGAAAATATGATTATGACAAAAACCCAGCATACAACCAGGATGGTACTATACTCGAGTACTATACGGTACGCATGGTACCGAACCGAAATAAATAAATAAAAACCCGTGAACAGCATCGTCACCGCCATGAATGACGATACTTCCTGGCACCAAAGTTGCAACACCGGTAGTTTGTTGCTGCCTTTCGTTGCATGTACTCGTACGGTACAGTGCAATACCGGTAGAGTACCGCGAGCGAGTGATAGACGAGTGCGTGAAGCGTTCATTCCCCATAATTTTGCGAAGTGTCGATGCCAGTAAAGCGCATTTAAGAGAAAGAGAAGAAAAGGAGAAAAGCTGCGTAGTGACAGTCCCTTCCGCTCTTCGCCTCTCCTACTCCGACCCTCCTCCTCTCCCCCCCATTTTCATCCATTGTACGGCATCTGCCCACTCCTCTCCCTCCTCCCTTCCCGGATGGAAGTGGGGGAGTGTCAAACACATCTATGACTTCGACGTCCCTTCCGACAACAACTTTACAGGCACCTTAGCTCAGAGCAAAAGCAAAGCAATACGGCTCTCTACCATAAATGCATTGTGGATCGATCATCAATCCTTCACCCCTCCCCACACACACACGATGCGTTGACCCTATTCGGCTTAGGTTAACGCATCCCGCCAATCAACTTGATCCAAGCCCGCATCTGCCCCAGATCACGCGAATGTCACATGCCGCGACCGGCAAGTGACGCGTTACGCCCGTGTCCACGCGTCACAACAACAATCAGCAATGGAGGACTCCATTAATTCAATCCATGCCTTTTCATTCCGCTCCGATCATTTCCCATCGCTCCACCATCATCCTCGACCACCATCAAGCGTGTATTGTCAAACCAACGAGTCCCTGCCCCTCCCGATGCCCCACTAAAGCCCATTTAGAAAAAAACCCCCCCGACTTAGCTGTAAATCAGCGGGGGGAAGAAAAAGAGGAAAAAGAGAAAAAAAATCCAAGTTAGTAGAAATAAGATGTGATAAAAAGACTGGGGACTAAAATACAGATCAATTCATCGAGTTTCCCAACTCAACGAATCGGCCCTCTCGTCTCAATCGCCACATACATTCATTAAGAGACATAAAAGGAGCCAACCAAACACACCGCAACCAGCATGTGCACACAAGATAGAAAAACCCCCACTTCTACGGCCACAACAAATTTTGATATTGGAAAATCATCTCTCAGGGAAAAAAGGGATTGAGATGATGGCTGACATCTTTTTTTGGTCTGTTTTTGGTATTGTGTAGGTAAAGAGAAGAAGCACGGTTATTCCATGAACTGAAAGAACGGGTGAATGGATGCCAAGAGCACTAAGACAAAGAATAAAGTGACTACTCGTCATCCTCCTCCTCCTCAGCGCCTCCCTGTGCCTGTATCATGAACGCGTTAGTCAGATACTGTCAAGGATGGATGGATGGAACGCCCACTGCTCAGAGTTCAAGGGGATCACTTACGTTGTACACGGCCTTTTCGTCTTCATATCGCTTCTTATCAGCGGCCGCTTTGGCTTCGTATGGTTGGCGCTGCTTTTCGGTCAAAGCCTTCCAACGTTCGCCCAAGACTTTACCAACCTGCCCTGCAAGAGAAGTTAGCATAAAAGAGCGCAACGAAAACGGGAGAAAACTTACCGAAGGCAATTCCAGGATTATCATTCCTAACATTCTCACGCTGTTCGTTCGCAAAGAACATATAGGCAGAGAGACCACGCTTGGGAGCATTAGGATCTGTAGTAAGGGAAAAGTTAGTGTTAAGGATTATCACACGAAAGGAAGATAGATCATGTACGAAGTGCTCGCAATAAAAGTCTCCAGAGCTATTGAAGGACGAAAGGAGCTGCAAAATGGAGTGAAAGGATGGAAGGAATACATACCCTTCTTCTTCTTGGCAGCTTTGGCGGGCTTGCGAATACGCTCAGTTTTAGGCATTATGAAGATGGTACTAAAAGATATGACGACACAAGTACTGGAGCAGCGAGCGAACGCGTGAGCTTAGCGAGTTGTGGTTAAAAAGAGAAGAAGCGAAGATGGGATTGAGGTGGAGGCTTTTCTTTTGTTTATTTTTCTATTTTATTTTTTTGATCTCTCCCCTGATTCTCCTCAAGTCTGGGGGAGACAGAAAGAAATGTTAGGGGAAAATGTGAAGGGCTCGGGCAGCTTTTTATAGGGTGAAGGTGAAGGAAGTATACCGCGCGGTACAAAAGCGTTGATACGGTTGCGCGGTTATGAAGTTTGCATGTGTGGAGGTAGAGTTCAAGGGAAGGAAGGGGAGTTGTGGGGAAGAGCCAAATGAAAAACGAAAATGGATCACGACAGAGAGGAAGGGAGAGACAAACCTTCAGAAGCGATTGCAACAAGGAAACTTTAGAGAATTAACAAAGATGAGAGAGTTCTGTGTTTTTTTCGAAATTGATGGTCAGTCAGGTTGTTCGGGTCACTAGGAATTTTTATCTTATCGCAGGAAGCAGCGAAAAGGGAGTAGGTTTTTTTTTGCCGTAGGAAATTTTTTTTGGTAGAGGGCAGAGCGATAGTAAGGGAGGAGACTTACTGCGAGGCGAGTTTGTATGGGGGGGAAAGGAGTTGTGTGAGAGCGAGCAGTATGGGAGAAAACAGTGGGAGTGGCAGACCTTATGCTGTGAGCGGCTGGCAAGCAACCCACATCACTTCGGGCTACCACACCAAAACTACCAGGACGCACCCACCACCAAAATGCCTGAAGGGTTAAAGTGGAGGGGCTGCCACATCCAATCAGCGCCCCGGATTCCTCATACTCCCCTAACCCCAGCGCAGGTAAAGGAGAAACGGAGGAGAAAGAAATGTCCGCCATGGTATGTAGAGAAAAGCAGGCAGTGTGAAAAATGGATGGGGCAGCTATGCTAACTTTCAATCCATTCAAAAGAACGTGGGAAGGGTCACCAAAGACATGGACTCGAAATGTATCGGAATCGATAATACACGCATCCGCCAAATTCCCAAGGGAAGCAAAACCTTTACCTTTTCCGCCAAAGGCCCGTGCTTGAGAAAATATGATTGGAAGAAAACGTTCCCATTAGTAAGCATGATGTCTCAGACTTCCCGAAGCGAGGAGTGCAAAAGTGCCAAGAGGAAGGCTCGATGCTTTGATGACAAGGGAGGGAGAGGGAAGGCAGAGAGGCAAAAGGGACGCTACAGTACAGTGTGGCACGTCGACCGTACGGTACCGGTAACACAGGGGGAAATGGGAGGGGGGCAAACCTCTGCACACAAATCACAAATTGCACGCCATATCATACATCCCATTTCATAATGCCGCTATCATACCGGCATTGCAGTACCGGTACATTCCTCCATGCCTTCAACAAGTGTCATGGTGGTATCACTCGATTATCCACTCTCCCAGACTCGAGGACACGATGGATCGATGGGAAAATCACGAATACGGTCACAGGTTGGGTAGGGTGCCGTGCGGTTGCACGGTAGCGATTGGCTGGCGTGCTGGAGTACCAGTCCGGTAGGCGCTCAAGGCAACGGTACAGGTGCGAGTATCATCCTCATGCCAGTACGGTACAGTACAGTGCCATGCCGCGCGCGTGCTATGGCAGTACGGGTACAGTACCGTACGGTACCGTACTCTGTGTGTCGAGCTCTTGTACCGTATGATACGCCGTGTGATTCCCAGTCCCCCTCCCCCCCCGCCCATTCTCCCCTACGAGTAGAATATAGAATTGCCCTACGGTACATACGCTTTGCTGGGCTTTTCGGGCTGAGGGCGATATTGTAGGTAGTCTACAAGCATCTATCATGTGAACTGTTGGACCATCGGCAATCCCCTAAAATCTGAACCTCACCTAGTGGCATTTAAGTCTCATTGCCGGATGGTTCATGCTGTACGAGTCTTGTACGACGAGTTCATGGGCTAGTGTGCGCTATACTACCGCTATGGTATTCGCTGAGAACCTCTTTCGGGATAGAAGAAGAAAGAAAACAAGGTTCATCTTCAATTCCATTGTTTTCCCCGAATTGGAGGGCGTTCACGGGTGATGATTCCGTTTGACTTGACCAACCGGCAACGGTCTAGCGAGATTCCGCTTGCAACCGTCTTCATTCGCCGACTTTGGCGATTGCCGTACGGCATGTGTGGTACCTAAATTACCTACTCGAGTACCGTACTCTAGCTACGGTAAGGTGGCCTCTGACACTCCCACTTAGAGTGTCCGTGCCTACATATACCCAGGACCTGCGGTGTTAAGCGCTAGGGTTGTGTATACAAGGTACCGAACACTCACTACGTACCGGCATCCACCTTTCTCTTTCCATACCGGTATTATCCCCTACGGTGCCCAAATTGGCCCTCGTACAGGACCAGCCATCAGTACCCTTACTGCACCATACTGTACAGGATCGCAGTAATCGCGCACGCACACTCAGCGTACAGCCACACAGCAGCTGCGGCGACATTAACTACCGTACGGTCGTAGGATCACCGCACACACCTACCGTACGCAAAATAGATGTTCCATACCACGAGCCCCGGCAGCAAACCGGGTGGGCGCACAAGTTTGGGCGCCGCCACTTTGCTCTCCGCACGCAATTTTTCTGGTCCTTCTGCTTTAGGGACGAGGGCGAATGGTCATTCGAGGACGATATCGGATTCGAGAGATCTTCTGCAACACGTACACAAAATATCCGGCCCCGCCTCTCCGAACCTGTCAACTCTCTCCTCGTCACCCCCGCCGTCACGGTATCCTCCAAAAAAGCCGAGCAGTTTACCAGAATCATCAGACAACCAATCGGGCTATTTTGACACTTTATCTGTTGACTCTGCAAGCGTTGCTTCTTTTGACTCGGCTGGCCAACCGCGTGTCCGCCGTCTTTGCTCTCCAGAAAACAGCCGCCGTCCTTTCGTTCCACCCCCGTGTCGCCAATCAACAAATCTTCGGCCATCACCGCAAAGTAAAGATTTGGGGGGTATCTACACCGGGCGTCTCACGGAGCAAGCCTTGCGCGACCAAGAAGCGGTACAGTGCGGCGATTTGGACGATACGGTACCGAAGCCGCAACCTGCTCCCTATCAATCAATTAGTTCTGCACCCCGAAATCCCGCAGCACAAAGCTCTGGAAAGGGTGGGGTAATGACGTCCTCAACCCCCGGAGAGTATGGAGCCGACGGGCGCAATTGGAGATATAGATCCACAAGTTCTGCCAGTACCTACTCAGATCCAACTCGAAAGTCCGAGAGTGGTGCGGAAAGCGTTGTACAGGGGACTGTGAGTAAGGCCTTCGGAAGCAGACCAGGCCGATTCCCATTTGGGCAGAGGTCCAGTGCTTCGGGGCCTATGGGCCTTGGCAATCATGAGGATGGTGGACATAGCGAATCCTCACAGCCCACTATGGAAGGATCGAAGGAAGGGGCGAAATCTGCAGAGGGGAATGGGGACTCGATGTCGGGCAACAGGCTTGTATCAACGTCTATGCCTGCCAACCCGAAAATGCCTTTCCGCTTGATAACGGCTCGAGCGCAAGGGAAGGCGAGATCTGCCCAAGAGCAAAGCGATAGTCATGGGAAACAGCATTCGGGTTCACCTTCAAACGCCCCTAGACATGGATCATCCAATGCTGTGGCAGTGGGGACCCGGGCCAATTCTTCACCCAAGGATTCTAAGGCCCCACGGCAAGCTGCTTCATCTCTTCCCACTCCAAGCCCCGATAGGCACTTGTCTCGTAGGGATAAAGTCCACATCTCCAAATCTGATGCCTCACCAGCTGCTCCCAAACAACAATCCCAGAAACCGTCACACAAGAGAAATGCTACTATATCCTCCATCCATCGTACATTATCCGGCGAGCAAGCCTCTGGGAAAGCCAGAGATGAGCGGAATAGATCCTTAAGTGCCGCATCAATTAGAGGAAATGCTATCAGAGACAAGCCTGCCACTCGACCGGTCTCTACGACTTCAACTATAGGGGCAGAGAGCTCACTCGAGGTTGCCCCGAGTGAGGCGTTGGTGACCGATGCGAATCCTGAGCAGCATATCCCAGAAGAAACCTCAGAAGCGATGCGAAAGGGCTCGCGTGCCGGCCGAAGCTCTAGCACAAGTAGTTGGACGACCGACATCTCGGAACCTGGGGCCGATTTTTTATCCCGAAAACCAGCACGTGGCGGGCGGCGGATTTCCGGAGCAGCCAGCACCATCAAACCGATATCAAGCAATCATAATGATCCAAACTTTGAGGCCCATGAACAGGAGCCACCCCCTGAAACCAACGGCACAGATACCAAACCTGCACGAAGTGAATTCGGGTGGTTTGCCCAGGGCTTCTTGAAGCGCCCCTCGGAGGCTGATTACGAAGACCTTGCACCAGCCTCAAGAGCTGGCAGCGTACAAACGTCCCGATATACGCCTACCCCATCCCCATCCAAGCATAGGGATGCTCGAAAGAAAAGCATCCCGATTCGCCGGGGTCTACAAGATATCAAACTGGCAAGAAAGTCCCCTCTGGAGGAAGAAGAGTCCGATTTTGATTCTCTCGAATACCTTCTGGAGAATGACCAGGATTTTTCTGCGCTGTTTACATCGGTGGATGACGACGAGGATGACACGGCACTCTTACTCGCCAACCTACCAACATATAAACCACCGGCGGCGCAGAAGTCAAACGTCAGGCCACGAGCTGAGGCCGAGGCTGGCGACCAAATGCGGGAGCAAGAACGTGCAGTGCATGAGAAGTTGATGAACCGTCTCCGAACGCTACACCTGGAGGTACGATCAGCTACTAGGGGTCTCGATGTGCTGGAGGGCTTCTTGGACGGGGCCGGATCGAGCGGGGATCTTAGTGAATGCTGGGACGACGCTACTCAGAGGAAGGAATATATGCGGAGGCTTCGCAAGGAGGAACAAAAACAACGGCTGATACTAGAGCGTAGAGCGAGGCAGAGGATGGCCTTTCTCGGCGCCCCGCTTCCTTGGAGCAAATGGCTGGTAAAGTGGGGGTTCGTAGCTTTCCTAGTTGTGATCATCTGGTATCTCCTCGAGTTAGCGGTGTTGTAAGTTAAACCCCTACCCCAATTATCCATTGTTCCAGTACAGCAATCGTGGCCTAGACAGGGACTAATCCGAAATCTTTGCTAGCCTTCATTCTATGCCTCCGTCGTATTCATCCGTTGCCATCGAACGTAAACCACCCCCGGAATTTGGAACGCTTTTGTCTCACACAATCCTCAAGCCGGCGAAAATCATCTTTCACTGCGCCTGGCTGATCCAGCACGGAGTCATCACGACGATGAATCTCACCTCCGCACTCCTCCTCGCGCTCCTTGGGCCCTGTAAGGCTACTTTCTTGAACATGCTTTCATACTCATGGCATGTCGTGACTGCAATTGCTGCATCTTTATTATCCTCTTTATTATCATTCTCTTCACCTACGTTCACCTCTCCCGCCCGTGGCGCTTCGGAAGCTGTGCGCACCACCTTGGCAGAGTATGCCGATGTTTCAGCTGCAGGGATGCCACAGGCGCTAGGCTCTGATCAAGTTATTAATTGAGTAGTCTAATTGTTTGACTAATTTTGTATAGAATCATCCTTTCTGTCCTTCTCCCATATCTTTCTTAAGGGCCTGGCCTGGTTGATTATTTCCCCATTCGAATTTTTATTTCCCTCATTATTATTTCCAAAAAAAAAAAGAGCTTTACTACTTCATTGCTTCTATTATTGTTTTATTTATGATATTGTATTTATCCTTTTTGTTATGCTTGTTTCGGGTTTTCTGGAAAAAGTATGATGTCATTATTTCTCGTATCATACCGTGTGCTATTATAACAGGAGGATGGTGGTGGGGGAAGTGTGCAGTTAGTGTAATTATGGCTCTTTCTTTGTTCTTGCTTATGATATTTGTTCTACGAGTATTTGGCCATGGTGTGGGTGTATGGATGGGTGTTTTGGCATTTTCTCGGGGGTTAGGCAGTGTGCGCAGATGGTGGGATGTGGACTTGTACCATATCGGTGGTGGCTTGCTTTGGTTCGGCACCGTTGGTCTAGGTCGAGTTTCATTCAGTTGGGCCAGCGATATTACAAGAACTCGAATAAACGGATGATTGGCTGGCTGGGTAGTCCGTGATTTACTCCTCAACTAGGAGCGGGGTGGAGACAAAAAGAAGCCCCTGGCCTTACCGGGGTGGGCAATCCCGACGTTCTACGAGTGCGGCCGATAGATATATTCGTCACGTGAGTCTGATAAGAAAGTTTTGGTGCACCTTTTGGCTGCGATTTGTCCTTAGATAGGGCACGTGACGAATATATTTACCGGCCGCACCCGTACGAGTAAGCAGCAGGTCTGACTGTCTACTTCTACTGTATTCAAACTCTAATGATGGTACCGGCAGTCCGCGGTCTAGAGGTGTCTATCCGGTTCGCGAAATAGCCTACCACTACTAAAAATCCACTAATATCATGGGAGATTCACGGATGATTGGTCTCAGTCAAGGTTTATGGCCTCTCCTGTTTACCAAGAGAGACACTCTCTTTGCACTTGAGCACTGCTAACCGTTTTCAAAAGTATTCGGGTACCTTGGCTCCAAGACATCTTGGAGGAATCAAGAAGAATGCATCGGGTAAGATACTATTCCTGGTATTCGTTCCCACCTTTCTCGCTTGTACATTGAACTATAATATATTTGGTAGTTTAGATAAGATCTTCTATCATGATTTTTACCCATTCAGTCTTGAAACAAAGTTAACATCATTTTCTGTACTAAAGTTATCCCTTTATCATCCTTCAGGGGGTGAATTCTGGACTTCAACATATTCCTCAAGTGATCTCCTGGGATTAATTTAGGGCGATTAGATGGCCACTATACTTTATCAATCTTCCTTCCACTTTTTCTTCTAGTTTGTAAAGTCCGAATCATGGGTTAGTATATCATCCTGGATTAGGAAAAAAGTCTGAGTTCAAGTTGACAGATTTTTGTACCTACTATGTCAGCAATAGTTGGGATAGGTAAGATCAGTTATACAACTTTCTAAGCCCATCTCTACTAGATTCTATTTATTTATTACTTTAAACTTATACTTTTTACTGTTATAATTGAGTAGTAAGAGAATCTAAATATTATACTCTCTCAGGTTTAGATTATTTAATTATTTGTAATTTATTCTATATTTGTAAAGCCTCCAAGGCAGCAGTCAGATACAATACTTCAGCTATATAATTATTATTATAGTTAATAATATTTCTTTCTACTATTTCTTTTCCTTCTATATTAATAATAATATATACTACTTATAAATTACTACCTTTTACTCTATAATTAAAGCCTATTACTTTTTTTTATATACTAATATGTCTGCCTTATTTTACTTCTTACTCTTAGAATATAGAAGTAACTTGAGCAAGTAAATTTAGGCAGGAATAGGGGAAAGAATATTGAAGATATATAAGAGAACAAGAGGAGACTAAGATATACTATATAGAACTTAGATATAGGATAGACAGGAATAAGGTAGGACAAGCCTTGAGTGAGATTTGGTATGTTGGAAATAAAACGAAAGAAAAGAAATAATTTTAATAAACTGTATAGGAGGTTGTATAAAGAGAGAATAAAACTCCTCTTTGTATTGTATCAAATGTAAACAAAGTCCATAGTAGGACTCACAATCCCAGAAGTCATATTTTTTTACAAGAGCCCTAATAACCTAGTTCAACTTTATTTATACTCTAATTCATATAACAACTCTTATTTTTATATACTTGTAGTAGGATTCATTCTGCCACTCTTTTATAACCAGTTGAAGACCTAATAATTACAATTGCAATGACAATGAACTCTTCACTCTGAAAAATCAATTCTTAGGTAGAAGAGAATAACAACAGTAGATTAAATAATGTGGGATATTTAACCATATTCTATGATCTAGAATTACTGGTAGCAACAAAGATTCTAGTTATATATTATACCTGGAGTACAATTCTAGTTATTTTACAGGTAGATTTCACTAACTAGATTATTTTGTAATACTACTCAGGTGTCACAAACTGTGACTAAGGAAGGCAGATTTTACATAGCTCAGAATATCGAGCTATAGGTATGTTGGGATTTCACATGACGCAGACTTGTATGCCATAGGTTATTATGTTTACCTGTTCGTGACTCACAATTGTAAGTCACACGATGTTATGACTTTCATACATGACTCAATGTATGAGTCATAGGTTTCACTCAGGTGATGCGAGTTGTGCATCTGACTTAGTTATTATGTTTTGATTGGTTTTAGGTATGTTGCGTAGCGACTCATAGGAGTCGACTGATGGATTTCACATGACTCATGGTTATGAGTCACAGGGTTTGCGTGACGCAAAGTATGAGTCATGCCAGTTGAAGAGCTACTATATAAAGGGTTACTAGGAACCTGAGTATTAGCTCTTCATACGTTCTTCTTGTTTATTTCCTACCTTTAAAAGTTATTACAATAAAACCTATCTTTACGCTCTTTAAGATTTATCTTAAGAACCCAGAGAATTATCTTTCCTCTTAAGCGGGAAAACTGTTTCTCCTCGTACGTCGAACGATTAAGTCCTGAGTAAGGACTTAAAAAGATTAGAGAAATAGGCGCGATAAGATAAAAGGCAAAGGGACTTGACTATCCATATCGCGTAGGCATCAGCCTAAGAACTATTACCTGGCTACGCATTAAGAATCGTTACCTGTCACACCCAAGTACCCAGCAGGATTCTTAACATTAGAACATGTCTACAACACGACACTCAACGACTACACCACAGCTTCGTTCAACCCAGATTAAGAAGGAGATTTGGACCTCTAAGACAATGGCTTTAGATACGAAGAAATAGAACAAGCAATAAGCGAAGCAAGTCAACACTAGGCAGGAACTGCAAGTCCAGTCACACCCGAACGAGTCACCTTTCCAGACGAGGAAGAAGTACAAGAAACACCAAAACCTGAACGAATGTCAAAACCAGCACCACCCTTAGGCCCACCTCCAACTGGGCCAGCACCTCCCCAGATGATCCCACAAGACGAAGTGGACTGGATGATATGAGAGGCTATAAGAGGAAGAGGGCAACAACCTAAAGTCAAGATCCCACCCCGATATGAGGGGGAAAGAAGCAAGTTACGAGGATTCATGGTACAACTCTTAACCTACTTTGACACAGTAGGATGGATACAAGGAAATGACTAAGACAAAATAGGATATACTCTCACCCTACTGGAAGGAATAGCCCGAATATAGATAACCCCTATCGTGGTCAGGAATAATGCACCGTGGAAGGACTGGGCCAGCTTCAAGGCAGTATTAGAAGCCCAATTCACAGATATCAAATTAAGCCAATTAGGGCAAAACAAATTGGAAGAAATTCATCAAGAAAGAAAAAATGTCACCAATTACTGGTATGAGTTCCAACTACTCTAGTATGATGCAGAGTGCGATGAGGCCTCGGCTATGAGATGGTTCATGAAAGGCTTGAGAAGAACCTACCAAGAGGCATGGTGGTACAGGGAGGAAAAATTGACTTTGACTGAAGAAATAGTCAACTGGGCTATTCGAAAAGAAATCCAGTTTGGGCAACTAGATTGGATCCAAAGGACCCAGTCTAATAGAATACAAAGCAACCTTACGGACAAAAGAAACCAAAATACACCTAGGAACCAGAATGGAACCTTCGGAACTACAACTCAAGGAGGAGACGCTATGGACCTGGATGCCACTCGAAAGACGCTGTCCCTCAACCTCGTAAAAGACGAGTACCTTCAAGAATGAAACAACAATATATGCCTAAGATATGGAATAGGAGGGGACATGATCAAGGATTGCAAACAACTTGCCAACCCAGCTCCAAACCAAGGAAGGAATCAACAGAATCCAAGACCGAGTCCCAGATTCCAACAATGCAGCAAGTTGCGAGAAATCGAAAGCGAAGAAGAATATGAGACAGTGGCAAAAGACAAAGGTCCCTAGCAACATATGGTCTGTGGGACCCTCTGAAAGACAAACCCATCTCGATGGCCAACTATTACACTCTTTTATGCCAGAAAACTAATAACAACGACAATGATCATATCATGATCAAAACCACTATTTATTTACTATTTATAACAACAAACAAAAAGAATAATGATACACGCAATGCTCAATTCGGGAGTAACAGAAGATTTTATCGATAAAGAAATCTGCGAAAAATATCAACCAAGGACCAAAAAAGCAAAAAAAGAGAGACAGATTTACCTTGTGGATGGAAAACCCAGTGTAATGGGGCCTATCACCCATACCATGCAAGTACCTATGGAAATCGGAGACCATAGGGAAGTGGTTACCTTCTAAGTGGCAAACGGACAACACCATGAAATTATCCTCCAGATGCAATGGTTAAGAAAACACAATTCTACATTAAACTAGGAAAAAGGAAAAGTTACCTTCGACAGTGAACTATGTACGACATGGTGTTTCAACAGTTCACTAGTGGTATATGCAACTCTAGAAAAAGAAGCAATCAAAGAAAACTTGGATGCGAAGTTCAGCCAAGTATGACCAAGAAAGGATCAGAAGATCAAAGTTCAAAGACTAAGCCAGGAGGCAAAGATACCCACAAGAGGGTCCAAGAAAGCAGCAGGACACGACCTGTATGTCAACAAAGAAGTCAAGATACCAGCCAATGGGCAGGTAATTGTCCTAACTGAAATAGCTATAGAGTTACCTCAAGGCACCTATGGACGTATAGCACAACGCAGCGGTCTCGCAGTCAAACACAGACTCACTACTAACCCTGGAGTAATAGACGCTGACTATACATCGGCAAAAATAAACCCTTGCGTCCTGTGTATCCTGTGCGTCTGACGCACAGGACACACAGAACACAAACCATTAATCAAGACGCAAGGCGGCAGCTACCGAATCTCAGGATGCAACGGTCCTTGAGGCAGAACTCAGGACGCAACCAGGATGCAAGAGCGCCTTGGCACCAGAACTCAGGATGCAACCAGGCGACAAGGGAGCCTTGGCGCCAGAACTCAGGACGCAGTGAGAACGCAAGCA